TGTTGAGTAGAGCTTATTCTACACTTTTTATTTTAAAATAAGTGTCTTTTTTTAGTAAAAATTTATTTTACATTAATTATTTTAAAAAAAAAATATTTTCTTTCTATTTTAATCTTATTATTATCTTACACTAGAAATCAATGGCAAAAGGTGCAGATCACCCCCTAAACTTAACAACTGGTGGCAAATCACCCCCTCAACCTACTTCACGCGCAAATCAACCCCTCAACTCACTTGCAGTGGCAAATTAGCCTTTCTCTTAACCCTTCCGTTAACATTTAATAGTCTGTTCATCAGCCCTTCCTCTGTGTCTGATGTGGCCTTCTTTTTGCTGAGATGGATGCTGAGGTGGAGGCACGGCTGGACAAATACCTCAAAATCAGCATATTACAAATCTGGTGATACAGGTAAACCTAGAGGAGGAGATGGTGGTGTTGGAAAAGATTTTGATGGCTAAACGAGTTGGAAGACGAGTTAACTTAGCAGTTGCAGAGTCTAACTTGTTCGAGATGGAGTGCGTCCACTTTGGGAATTTAGTGGGTTGCTTGAGGCCGATGCTTCATGATCTGGTCGGCTGCATCTCTGCTGCTTCTCCGCCCTTATACGACTGGCCAATCGTCCGCATAGTCACTGAAGTCTCCAAAAACCTTGAGCGCGCACTGACCCTAGTCCGGAAGTACAAGCGATGCACCTTCTTTCGTCGGTTTGTCACCGGAAAGCACACAACCGATTTCCCCAGAATCTTTGCACTTCTGGAATCTTCAATTGCCAATATGAACTGGTTGCTAAGCCTCTTCGACCCAAACATCGGCTGCACCTCTAGGGAACTTGACCTATCCGTGCCTCCAATTGCAATCAAAGATCCGGTTATTTCATGGGTCTGGGCGTTCATCGCCACCATTGAAATGAGTCTACTGAAAAATCGCATCGAGGCCATCGACAATCTTGCTAAAAAAAGGTTCAATTTTTAAAAGACGAAGAGGGGAAGAAGGTGATAGAAGTTGCCAAACAAAATAAAAGCCTAGATATCCTCAAAATATGGTAATTTGACAGACGATTCAAAGCTTGACGAAAAACCCCATGCTCGATGAATTGCAGATCTTGCTAAACAAAGACGAAGAAGGGAAGAAGACAAAGATGATAGAAGCTGATCCCAAAATCCCAAAATCCCAAAATCCCCAACTCCCCAATTTTATTCCTTAAACAACTTAAGGGTATAAAAGTACTTTGTGTAATTTGCTGATTTTGAGGTATTTGTCCAGCTGTGCCTCCACCTCAGCATCCATCTCAGCAAAAAGAAGGCCACATCAGACACAGAGGAAGGGCTGATGAGCAGATTGTTAAATGTTAACAGAAAGGTTAAGAGAGGGGCTGATTTGCCACTACAAGTGAGTCGAGGGGTTGATTTGCTCGTGAAATGGGTTGAGGGGGTGATTTGCCACCAGTTGTTAAGTTTAGGGGGTGATCTGCACCTTTTGCCAATATTAATTTAAGATGACACTCTTAAACTCATAAAACTAACTTATTAAGTTCATGATTCTCTAAATCTATAGTCTACTTATTATCATCGCATTTTATTTGATGTGAGATCCTATCATAACTATTTACCAAGTGAACCTTTATCATGACAGTTTAACTACAGTATACATCTCAAAATGTATGAGGTGTTGACGAGCATGCAAGTCTTCCTTGATATACTGATAACAACAGTTCTTTGTTTTCTAGCTTCTTGATTAATTGGGAGCCATGGGCAGTCCCAACTACCCTCCAAAAAACTGTAGTTAGGCATTAATTTCTGCAAGAACATGATTGATTTCGGCAAAAGGTGCAGATCACCCCCTAAACTTAACAACTGGTGGCAAATCACCCCCTCAACCCATTTCACGCGCAAATCAACCCCTCAACTCACTTGTCGTGGCAAATCAGCCCTTTTCTTAACCCTTCTGTTAACATTTAACAATCTACTCATTAGCCCTTCCTATGTGTCTGACGTGGCCTTCTTTTTGCTGAGATGGATGCTGAGGTGGAGGCACAGCTGGACAAATACCTCAAAATCAGCAGGTTACGCAAATTACTTTTATACCCTTAAGTTGTTTAAGGAATAAAATTGTGGATTTGGGGATTTTGGGATTTTGGGATTTTGGGATCAGCTTCTATCATCTTTGTCTTCTTCCCTTCTTCGTCTTTGTTTAGCAAGATCTGCAATTCATTGAGCATGGGGTTTTTCGTCAAGCTTTGAATCGTCTGTCAAATTACCATATTTTGAGGATATCTAGGCTTTTATTTTGTTTGGCAGCTTCTATCAT